TAGTGCCAATTATTGAGTAATCATTGGGCCTTGGTAAGAGTTCCCAAACTTGGTTTCTTTCAAATTGATTTAATTCTTCTTGCACGGCCAAGAACCAATGTTCATCAATAATTGCTTCATCAATGGTTCTAGGTTCAATTTGTGAAACAAATGCTAAATGATTACAAATATTTCTAATGGAGTTTCTAGTAGTTACCCATTTTGACATGTCACCTATTACCGCATCAATGGGGTGACCTTTTGCCGATTTCCAATCCTTTGGAAGATCACATTCATTCTTATTGGCTTGAGAGGTTCCTTCATTTTGATTTTGCTCCTTCTCTTTGTGTTCATCCTCTTGCTTTTTGTCATTTAAGTTCATGTTGCCCAAGATTTCTACAATATCATCATCATAATTTTCTTTTCTTGACAACGAAGGGTTAGTCTCATCAAAAATCACATGAATTGATTCTTCAAGTACCATAGTTCTTTTGTTATAGATTCTAAATGCTTTACTTGTGAGTGAATATCCTAGAAATGTACCTTCATCGGATTTTGAATCAAATTTGCCAAGGTTATCTCTTCCATTGTTTAAAACAAACACTTGCAACCAAAAATATGAAAATGTGAAATATTTGGTTTTCTTCCTTTGTAAAATTCATAGGGAGTTTTCTTTAAAATGGGTCTAATTAATGCACGGTTCATAACATAGCAAGCGGTGCTTACGGCATCCGCCCAAAAGTATTTTGGAAGATTGTTTTCATTTATCATTGTCCTTGCAAGACACGATTTTTCCTTTCTACAACTCCATTTTGTTGTGGAGTCCTAGGAGTGGAAAAATTGTGTTGAATTCCATTTTCATCACAAAAGATTTCAAAGTCTTGATTTTGAAATTCTCCCCCATGATCACTTCTAATAGAAACGATGTTCAAAGATTTATCATTTTGAATAAACTTGGCTAGTTTTCTAAATGCTTGAAAAGCTTCGCTTTTATGAGTAAGAAATAATGTTTGTGTGGGCCCAAAAAGATCCATGTGTAAAAGTTGTAAAGGCCTAATGGTTGAAACAATATCTTTGGATTTGAAAGAAGCCTTTACTTGTTTTTCCATTACACATGCATCACATAACTTGTCATTTTGAAATTTAAGCTTTGGAAGACCAATTACTAAGTCTTTAGAAATCAACTTATTTAAGTGACTCATGCCAATGTGTGCAATTCTTTTGTGCCACAACCATGAATCATTTTCTTTACTAACCAAGCAATTATCGTCATTTGAAGGCATACCATCTAAATCAATCATATAGATATTATCCACTCTATAGCCTTTAAACTTAACTTGCCCATCATTTAAATTTTCAATTTTGCAACATTTAGAATCAAAAACAATTTTAAAGTCTTTGTCACATAATTGACTAATACTAAGCAAGTTATGTCTAAGACCATCAACAAGCTAAACATTTTCTATACAAGTTGATGAGGAGTTACCAACTTTCCCAATGCCAAGGATCTTTCCTTTGTTATTGTCTCCATAAGATACATGTCCATGATCCTTCCTTGTAATTGAAAGAAATTTGGTAATGTCTCCCGTCATATGTCTTGAGCAACCACTATCCAATACCCATTTAGATGAAGAACTCTTTAAGCATACCTACAAAACAAATTTAACATTTAATCTTTGGTATCCAAATTTGTTTGGGTCCTTGTGTGTTAGTCATGGGTTTAGTTCCCTTAGGGACCGATACTTTCTTTTGACCACTAATTCCATTCTTTCTAATTTTACATGTTGATGCACTATGTCCTTTTCCACCGCAATGATAGCATTTAATGAAAGGACTACTAGTCATGTAAGATGGTGATATGAAGAAGTTCTTATAGGATTTTTCTTGTATGTTAGTGTCGAATCCTAAGCCGGATTTGTTAAACATACATCTTTGTTTTCCAAGCAATACATTTAAGTTGTCTCTACCACATGTAAACTTGCTTAGCACATTGTTTAAGTCATCAATTTCACTAGTTAGCTTTTCACATGAAGTACATGATGATGATGATGCATGATCATTTAATGATAAACATTTAATGCAATTTGTACTAGCATCAATCAATTTAAGTGTTTCATTTTCATCTTTTAACTCTTTTACTTCTTTGTTTGAGCATGCAATTTGTTTTTCTAAGGAGACAATGGTCTTTCTCATTTCTCTAAGAGATTTAACATGCTCTAAAGATTCACTATGTAATTCATCAAATAGATTTTGCAATTCATCATATGAAGGAGATATAGAAGAGCAAGTGGAGTTTACCTCGGATTCCGACTCATTGCCATTTTCAATTGTCATGAAGCACATATGTTGCATTCCTTTGCTTACATCATTTGAGGTTTTAGAGTCTTGCAAGAAGCATACATTAGCTTCTTCATTGCTTGAATCATCGGATGAGCTTGAATCTTCATCACAAGCCTTATACGCCTTCTTTTTATAATTTTTCCTATCTTTGAATTGATTCTTGTCACTCTTTTCTTTCTTTTGAAGCTTAGGGCAATCGGCTTTGAAGTGTCCGGTTTTTCCACATTCATAACATGTGTGAGGAGGTTGAGAAGCTCCTTCATCCTTGAATCTTCTCTTTGGAGGAAATGGAGGTCTTCTTTGAAAGTTCTTCTTCTTGAAGAATTTTCCATACTTTTTTACAAAGAAACTCATTTCATCTTCATCTAATTCATCTTCAGATGGCTCCTTTTCCTTCTCCTCCTCCACTTGAGATTTGAAGCTAGTGGCTTGCAAAGCTAATCCTTTGCTTTTCTTCTTGGCTTGCTCCTTCAAAGTTAGTCTTGCTAATTCTAGCTCATGCTCTTGAAGCTTTCCAAAGAGTGTAGCAATGGACATATTCTTCAAATCTTTTGATTCATAAATAGCCGTCACCTTAGGTTGCCAATCCCTATTCAAGCTCCTCAAGACTTTAGTGATCATTTGAAAATTATTGTATGAAGCTCCTAAAGCATCCAAACGAGTAACAATATGGGTTAGCCTTTTTTGCATGCTATGAATAGTTTCACCATCATTCATTTCAAATAATTCAAATTCTCTAGTAAATCCTAGAATTTTAGAGACTTTAACTTCACTAGTTCCTTCATGTGTTACTTCAAGCACATCCCACATTTCTTTTGCGGTTTTGCAAGAAGCTACACGAAAATATTCATCTCTACCCAAAGCATTGGTAATTAAGTTTCTATCCTTAGCATTCCAATTTGCTTCTTTACTTTCTTCTTCCGAAAATTCCTTTAAAGTTTTTGGAACATCGTTGTTGCTTTCATCCTTTTTAGTGGGAGCCGTATATCCCTCATCAACAATGTTCCAAATTTTTAAATCAATTGACTCAAGAAAAATTTGCATTCTACTTTTCCAATAAGCATAATCGGTGCCATTAAAGAAGGAGGTCTTGAAGTTGAAGTTCCCTCAAGAGGCATATCATTGTTTAAAGAGACCATCTTTACTCTTGAAGCGGTTAAGCTCTTTATACAAGAGTCAAAGCTTTGATACCACTTGTTGGACAAGTGGCCTCAAACTCAAGAGGGGGGTGAATTGAGTTTTAAAAATATTTTCGTAAAGTGCCTCACTTCCTTTCTTGAAATCGATTTTCTTAGAATAATATAATTTGACACAAGCAGAGTTTAGAGAATAGAAATTAACACAAGCAAATGGTATGTAAAGAGAAGAGATAAAAGGTTCAAGTGATCAAATAATGCTAATATAAAGAGATGAAGAGTTAGAGAGATTACAAACATTATATATCCTGGTTCGGTATCCACCACTGTGACCTACGTCCAGATTGAAATCGCCCGTTCAATTTTCCACTAAATTATCAAGCTTCAAGGGTGCTTGACAAACCACTACAACCTTCAAGAATATCGATTCTTGAAACCTTTACACTTCCACTCACTTACTTAGGTTATGAGCAACCTCTTTCACTAGGGTCTCACTACCCTTAACACAAATGAACAGATTGAGAGTATTTAGAAAGGGATATGTACTCTTGAAGTACAGATTATACAAGTTGAAGCTTATAGGTATTGATTAATGACACAAGATTAGAGCTCAAAGGTGATTTATGATCAAGATGATAAAAAGTAAGCAGATGATTTGAAATAGAGCAAGAATAATGATTAGAAAAAAGTGTCCCATCAATGTGAATAGTGATCACTATTTATAGAGGCCTCCCATGACCCTTTGAACACACATTTTCGCAAAACTAGTCGTTTATAGCCGTTTATAGCAGTTATACTGCTTACTGTCCAGTAAGTATTCGAATACTATTCGTGAGGTATTCGAATACTTCAACTGGTATTCGAATACTTTTCTCACAGTATTCGAATACTTTGTTCTCAGCATGAGTATTCGAATACAGACAATGAAGTATTCGAATACTTTCTTTAATTATGCAGTTTTATGAGTTGTAAAGTATTCCTTTTGGTCTCTAATCACTTTCAATGTATTTCCTTGACTTGTACAAGATGTTTTGAAGTTATTAAACATGTCAAGGATATTTTTCATAACAATTAAGGCTTTCAAGTGATAGATGACATGAATATTGCATGCATAGAGTTAATTACCCTTTGAGCTCTTTTATGCATCATTAATCAATTACCTTTACATTTAGATCTAAGCTCTCAAGAGAATGAATCAATGATGATCTTGTGTGTTGACTGATTTGCTCTTGTTGACTTGTGTGAATTGCTTCCTTGGGCTTTTGATTGTTGCGAGTTGTATTATCCTTAACATCGCTTATATGCTTGTTTGTTATCATCAAAACTCTTGTATGATTGAATTCTTCATATTAAGCGCATTGGTTTCACAGTACCATCATGGGCAGAACCTTTTTTTATGGTTAATAATCATATTCAAGCAACAATCAATCAAAGAAAACATAAAATAGTCATTGCACTCGATAACTCTCCCTAAAACAGAATTTTTATATTAATGTTAGATTAGCCAGAGGACATGATATCCTACATGCATTTATGGAGAGCAAGGATTAAAAAGCTTTTCCATATTTCTTAGGTGATTTCAGTCACAAAAGGCAATATCAGGAAAAGAAGATACGAGCAACCAAGATTAGAATTTAAACCTTTTTCCTTCTTTTGTCTGCACCACACCAGGTAATTGTTCACTTTAAAAACACTTCTTCTCTGAAGTAGGGATTGATCTTCAAAACTCAATTCTATGCTATATCTGAAATTTTGAAAAAGAACCAAAGTTATCTACAGAGCTCAATGACAAGTAGATAAATCAGCTACAAAAACATACTTACTTGTTTTTGAAGTACTCCTTGAAAGTAGTAGCTGTGCTACCTCTTAGGGGCACTAGATGTGAGTTTCCATTCAACTCCACTATATCACTAATTATATAAATAGAACCATTATGAGGAGTGGAGACCACACAATTTTTAAGTTTGCAAGAGCAAACTAAACCAGTTTTGGTCCACTCATCATCAAAATGATACTTACAATCGCATGCGCTTTCAGGTGAAAAGGGAAAGGAAGAAATAGGCTTCCAATCAACAATTGAACTTGAAGATCTTTGGTGTTTAGCAGTGGCTGGGAGCAAAAGATAATCAATCTCAGGATTACCTCCCAAACTAAACTCATCTGAAGCACAAATTAACTTTTTCACGGACCTATCCACAAGGATCCTAAAGAGGGTGGTTTGAAATCTTCTACATTTTTGAACCTGTAAAATAAAAATATTCAAATATATATAACACTACATTGAGTCTTCTTTAACATATCATGAAAAAATCGCATGTAAGCATACCTCATTTGGGCTAAGATCAATGGTTTCTACATGTGTGAGGTTTACTGACATGTTCCCCTTGTCAACAAACATATCAAATGATGTGCTTGTGATTTCTGAGTCAAGTTCATTCCCCATTGAAAGAACAATGTCATGAACAGGTATGTCATGGTTGAAATCATGTCTCATCTCTATCAAATAGCAATAGTACCTTGTGTTGCAAGCATTCGGTGAACAACTTACCAGCTCGGGTGGCACATAACTGGGTTGCTCATTGACGTAAGCCATGATGCTCCTAAGCCTTTCGCTGGTTTACTTTCTCAGTTCTTATACAATTGTTATACAATTTGCAGAAACAAAAAGATGAAAGAAAGAAAGAAATACCAACAGGGTTGACTCAAGTGGGTACTTGGGTTCGCTTAAGCAAGGACTCGAGTTCGAGACCTTGTGTATGCAGAAAATCTTCACCGGAAGACTAACCTGCCAATGCTAGATAACCTACCCGGGTCGGACTGGACATAGTCAGAGCGAAGTCCCGGAAACCAGTGGAGTAATCCAAAAAAAAAAAAAAATGAAAGAAATTGTGACAGCCACTACCAAAAGGTAGAGAACTCTTCGGATTCCGGTGGCAAGCCTCTCACTGACACTAAATATGGCTGTGTTTGGTGCACGATCTCATTGAACTTGAAAGATCAAAGAAAACACACACACAGAGAGACAGAGAGAAGGGTGATGTCGAGCTCTGCTTACTCTCAAAGAAAAAGCAAATGTGAATGCCAACCGTCCTTTTTTGTTTTGATAGCCCCAACCGTCCTTTAAATATTTCCTTTTTAACACATTTTCATTATTAAATTAATTTTATATTAATATAAGTTCATATTATTTAATAACATTAATATGAGATTATATTTAATAATAAAAAAATATTAAATATTGATGTCAGATGTAAGATTATATTTAATATGAGATTATATTTTAATTTTATGAGTCAAGAGTGAGTTTTATTTAATAATATCGATGTAAGATTTTAGAATTGTGTTACTAACGTTGCTTCGCTTTGAGGTTATCAGTATTTTAACATAGCAGCATCCTATGGCCCTTTCAAATATGTAGATAAACACATTTTCTAGTCTAAAATTAGTGATTTTTAAATTAATTATATTTTTCTAAAAAAAAATCATTTATATTTCTTTTATGATTTGATATGTAAACACGACTCTTTTATATAAGTTAAATAAAAAAATTTATCTTAAATTTGATTATGAATTAACAAACTTAAACATAACTATCAAGTATCCCATATATTATACAGTTGTTTCAAAATATAGATAAAATATAAAAATATACAAGACAAATTTTTTTTTAAGGAAATATTTATTTAAATGACCAATAATTATTTTACTGATAATGAAAAAAGTTAAAATATGAAAATACATGCATCTAAAATTTTTAGTTTTGAAAAATCTCAAAATATAATTCAATTAATAGAAAATTATTTTATTGGCATTTTAAAAAATCTTGTTATGTCTAATATTAATTCAAGAAATTTGTGCCTTGATCAAAGAAATTAAAGAAAGTATGAATGTCTTTGATTGAATAATGAATAAAAGTGAAAATATATTAATTTAATTTGATAAAAAAGAAAAAAAAAAGGAGTAGAGTGCATAAAGAGGTTATATATAAATAGATTTTCTCAATTAATTTTCTTTAAAATTGACTATACTTATAATTATTATTATTTTTACATTTTTTTTCACATCAAATTCAAATTAACACTTATTTATAACCTTTAATTAAAGCAAAAATTGATTAAAATGGACCCTTAACCTTAAAGAAGAATGTAATTCAGCATTACTATATTAGTCTTGCCATTGAGGATGAAAGGTTGCAATAATTAAGAGTGAATGTGCCAGCTAGGAAGAGATGGGCCATTCCTTTTCATGACTACGTAAATAGCATTAGGCCTAATATAAATGCTTTCATATTAACTTTCTCCTTATCTAGTGTAAAAATGTTGTATTACTATTTATCTTTTTCTTTCCTCCCATTAAATAGGTAAAACCTTATCAACATTTATAAATATTGAGAAAGAGATAGAAAGGAAAAAACAAAACGAAAGAAAGAGGTAAGAAAATGGTTACAAGTCATTTTCATACAATAAAAGAAGTTTTGGATGATCACGGGACTTAAAAAATAGTCTTATGATCTTGTAGAATTAAAGGTTTTAGTGGTAGCTCAATTGACACATAAAAATTTAGCATGTGGGGATAAGAGTATGTACTTGGTCATTTACATTATCATTTTTTAGAAGAATTTAAAATTTTAATCCCGGACCCGATCGCTCCAAATTTTGAATTAGTTCATATAAAATTTATGGAATTACCGATAAATAATCTCAAAAAAATAAAATAAAAATTCTCAGTGTCCCACTACTAATCTGAACTCTAAAAGATGCATAAGTAACTCTGATTTGTCTACAATAATAAAATGTGTTTACAAGACCAAGCGTCATATACTACTGACATTGCTGTTTCTACTCTTCGATGTTTATCTTTCTGGAATTCTGAGTCACGTGGTTTGAATTCTTTGATATAAGAATTAAATTTTCTTAAAAATTATGCTTTTATTTTATTTTTAAAAAAATTGGTATTTTAAAAACTTAAAATTAAAACAATTATTACTTTTGTAAATAAAATGATCCAAACACAAGCATTTCAAAAACTCTATGGACATATATATAAATAACTGCAAGGCGTGTCATCTTTTTGTTGGCTTAATTTTCAAAATGATTTTAATTTTTTTTTAAATGAATGCTTATAAATATTTTTAAAGCGTGTTTAAAATATTCTATATGAGCGTGAGTTTGAATATCGCTATAAGCTAGTCAGGGAGAAGACCTGTTAGTGAAATCTGAAATTTCTTCCAAATTTTTTTTAAAAGGTTCGGGGATCTACCCTCGGTATCTAATCGCACCTAACTTCTTTTTATAAAAATATATAAATAATAGTTATTTGTTTTAAAAGATGATAATTTTGTAATTACTTTTTAATAATAGATATTTAATATACTTTTTGAATTATATATAGCTTTTAATTTTAAGTAATATTTGAAAATGAATTTAAAAAATATATTTAATAAACCTATATAAACAAGTAAATATGTCAAAATGAATTATTTTAGTCTAAATATCCCAACAAAGCATGCAAATTAGACAAACAATATTAATGTGAAAAAAATTCGGGCCTGGCATGAGACGGGGCAGTACTGGACCGAGTTAGCCTACAAGTTCAGATTATAATGTTTAATTTTATTGTAATTATTAAGTACTTGTTGTCTCCATTCTCCAAAAGAGTTGCAAATCCAATCAACATCAGCTGCAAAGCTTTTGGCTTTTGCAAGCAGCTGCAATGGGTAGATACCCTAGATAATATTTGAAAAAAAATCAAATTTCTATTTTAGGGTTTATATATACTGACACTTGTTATAATTGAAATGGAGAAGAACTTATTTTTAATTAAAATCCAAGATTAATTGGTTATGTATTGTTGCGTAGAATCGGCAAGTGCCCCGATCGTACCAAGTAATAAAAATGATGAGTAGAGTATCGTCTCCACGAGGATTGAGGCACCGCAGTTATTATAACTATTCCTCTCTTGTTGGATTAATCAAAATAGTTTAAGAACAATTGTGGTTTGTGAAATAATGAAAACAATTCAAGAAAATTTAAATGATGCAAGGTTCTTTTAGAATTAAAGAACAAAAGATTAAAGGTTGAGAAAGTATTTAAGAAAATATTGCGGTAAAGAGACGCCAACACCTTTATGATCTCCACCTTGTAACTTGAATTGACGTTTACATTTAATTATGCAATTGAACAAACGATTCACTATCTTTTATTTAATTGGTTAAGCCTTAATTCCTTAATGATCTTAACCTTATCAACCCTATTAGAATCCTAATCCCTTAGAAATCCCTTTTTAAGTTGAGCCTTCGAATCAGCGAATCTTTCACGTTTGCGGTTCATGTAGCCTATCCCTAGTGCATACATGAACAGTTATCTTACCTCTTGTCAGGAATTAGAATTCTAATATTCATATTGAAAACTCTAACCCTCGCAATCCTAAAAGAGTGATCAGTTCTAGAAGAATTATAAGATGAAGAACAAAGTAAAATAAACTCAATTAACATAGATGAATATAAATTTAACCAAATCACAAGGGGTTCACATCAAGGGTTGTGACCCTTACCACAATTATTAAAACTAGCCAGACATGTTCATGATTGACAAAATAATCATAAAAGAAAATAAAATTAAGAACCTAAAGAAGAGAGAAGATGAAGATCTTCCGACTTGATCGATCGAATCTTTGAAACTCCAAGAAGCTCCCAAGAATTCTCACTCTCTTTGTTGTTTTTCTCTTCCTTGTTGTCAAAAGTTCTTCTTCCTCTGTTTCTGATCCTTTTATTAGGTTTTGGGAAAACCTACTTTCAATTGCTCTCTAATTGGGCCTCCTTTTTGAGTAATTCGCATCAGATTAAAATTGAAAAGTATCGCCCACGCACTTTGCGCCAAGTTTGGCGCACTTTGCATGAGAAAACAGAACTGAAGCTGTCAAACGGCGCACCGTGCGCCAGGTCCCGCGCATCGTGCGCCATGCCCGCGCACCGTGCGCCAGGATATAGGGACGATTTGCATAAAATGGTGCACCGTGCGCCAGGTCCTGCGCACCGTGCGCCAGGTCCTGCGCACCGTGCGCCAGCTGGAAAATTGAACTTCTCTCTTTTGCTTCCTTTTGTGGCGTTTCCTGCTATTAAAACATATAAATTGAGTGAGAGAATGATTGAGAAGGAATAATCAATATTTCTTGCATTTATGACTTATTTTCACACATTTATGATTAATTCCTTGCTTCTTTTAAGTTAGAAAGCATCATATGCTAGACGCACATCAAACAATTCCCAGACTTAGATGTTGTTGTCCTCAGCAATAAACAGAATTAAAGCATAGGAAGCAAGGTTCAATTAATCAAGCATAGCATTACACAGACAATCATAAAGATTACTATACTAAGCATGAATGATTTCCACATCAAACTTAAGATGATGCTTATCAACTACATTCAAATATCAGAGTCTAACTTGATTACCCCTCACAAGACATAATATTCACTCATCACTCGGTGTTTGGGGGTATTAATCATCACTCATTCCATCACAACTGTTGTACTACCATAAGCTTGATCCTTTTTCTCAAGTTCCTGAAGATGAGGAACATTAACACATGCATG